TTTTTTCAGGCAGGACTTTCATTTTATTAGCACATACTACATTAAAAAATTAGAGCAAACAAACATTAAAATACTCTCCACACTCGCTCTTTCCAAGTAAAATGTTTTTGATATTCTAAGTACATGCATAATTTATTATCATTCCAATATTCACATATAAAAAAGGCACTACAAAAAGTTATTTTGTGTAAGTTATGAATAAAATGGACTCTTACATAAAAGAATAAAATCTGAAACATTACAAAATACAGTCTAGGTTTTACATTTTGATGACAAACATTAGCATTTTTTAAGAGAAATCATCTGTTTTTACCGCTATATTTAACACATACAGAACATTTCTGCACATAAAGAAGTGGCATTACAGTAGTTCAGATGACTATTCAAATTATATATTTAAACATACAGGGAAAAAAGTAATCATAACAATAATTAATAATTATTAAAATAAAAATTTCCAGCATGTTTAATTCAATTATATTTAGTTCTTCATTTGAAATTTTCATATACTAAATAGACAATAATCAATGTACTATAAAAATCAAATTTTATTTTGCTCTCCAATTATCTTCTAAAAATACATTTCAAGTACTTATCTTGTAAATGATTCAACCACCTTAAAAACTAATGAAATGTAAGATATTAAAAATAAAAATTAAATTTTTGAAATAACCTGTTTGCAACCAAAGTACTCCAGGTTGAATTCTTTATAAAATTATTCCAGAAAGCAACAAAACAATGACATATATAGTAACAGCTATTAAACGACATGGAAAACAAAACTAACATTAAAGCATTACAAAAATGGAATACAAACTTTTCAAAACAGAGATATTTTTTTTTTACATGTAACCACTTAAACACATAAAGCAACTTTAGCAATAAGTAACCAGCATTTTAAGTTGAGGTTTAACAATCATGCTGACACTTCCCAGGCCCCCCTCCAAATAAAACATGCTTACACAATTTTTATAATAATAAATTGGATGAAGTTATTCTAGATTATGGTTTCAATTCACCATTATAATATAAAAATATAATTTTATTTAGAGAAAAATGTTTTTAGAAACTTATTTGAAAGTATACATTCACAATTTACACCTTTTGAATAATCAATGAATTGAAAATCCTTCTAGTGCATTTAATTTCAGATGCTCAGAAAATCTTTCCATTATATGTTTTTTACTGAATTTTTAAAATTAAGAGGAGGACAAGGGATACTCTCAGTAGTTGCAATCTGTATATAATAATAATTTTTAATACTCAAATTTTGGATTAAACTGATTTTCACACCAATATGTTTACTCTTATCAACGTATTTATTAAAGTATTATTATTATAATAATTGTATTCTTATCACTGTAATATAAATTTAGCAGTTAGAATAAATACATTTAACCACTTATGGTTCAGCACTATATCTAAATTGAAAGTATGTATTGCTGTCATCAAATTAAGAATCAAGTTTTACTCTGCACCACCTTTATATTGAATAACGAGATTTTATTCCAACTTTTATATCAAATTACAAGATTATTATAATGACAACTATTTATTTGGTACTGAACAACCTATTCATTTTTATGAGTGTTTCTTAGTTTGAGAACCAATTATTACAATACATTATTTATAGCTTAATTCTGAAAGATTTAGATATGCATATATCTAAATTTTATTGCCTCATTTACATGCTACATTATTATTATTACTAATTACTGTTACTGTAAAGTTCTAAGTTAAAGAGTGGGATGAGGATGATATAACTCTAAATACTTTATTACTACTTGTTATTTATTTTGTTTAGAAGAGTTTCTTTAATTTACCACATGAGAGTAAATATTTAATGGAGGGGGAAGAAGTGATATTATTACAAAGCAATCTGCATGAAAAGAAAGTACCAAATATGTGAAATAAAAGAAAGCATGACCTTTAAAAGGATAATACTTATACATCAATATCATACTCTTATACATCAATATCATCATCATAAAAGAAATATCTATTGAATAAACAATAGAGTTATTTCATTTTTACCTTGTATTAGAAATTTGAAGCATGAATCTTTAAAATAGCAGCAAAAAAGTATAAGGCTGACAATAATTAAAAAAATAATAAAACACTTCAAAACTAATTTGGATTATACTACTAAAAAAAATTTATGGTAAAAGTCCAGATTGGAAACATAAGAAAAATATCCTGATAATAAAGGTTTAAACTAGTATATAATAACAACTGATTAGAAAATAAAAGTTAAAATTAAATTTCCTTCAATTTTATTTTACAAACATTTTAATTAAATAATTTTTAAAAAATTGTTTCAGTAAATAAAGCAAAACTGAGAGCAAACTTAATATATATTGAAATAAACACAAATTAATTCCTAGCACATTCTCAGGTCGACTTGAATAAATACATTTTTCTCTATTGCAAAAATGCAATTAGTACATGATTATCACTTGTACACAAAAATAATGCACTTTTCTGATGTCTGTATATGACTAATAAAACAGATCTGTTTTGTTACAGTGTAAAATAACACCAACAAAGACAAACATTCCAAGCTATATGCAAAACGAAAAATTTGTTTTATCCTCAATTTAAAATCTTGTTCATATTTTTAAAGCATTTTAAGTAGATATTTATTAAACGTAATGAAAGTGCTGAGAAAACAAATACAATAAAATAATTAACTAAAATGTATGCTTGATCAAAAGATGAATCAATTATATAATAATCTAAATGCCCTTTTTTAGATACAGTTTACTTCAAATACATATACAGTTTTCTTTGTATTTTAAAACTCTTAGTTTTATAAATGCTTATCTGAGTTTTACATTTTCTTGTACATGCCTATTAATAATACTTATCATGTAAACTGTATTTCCTTTTAATTACTAGATGTATGTGGATTTATTTGATTTATATTACTATAAGCAACAATTCACAATACATAAAGAAAATACAATAAATGAATATGTAACATATAAAATAAATATATATTTGTAAAATGAGTTGTCCATAACTGCTCTTTATTATAAATGCAAATAAGATAAAAGTGTACATATGTCACTCACCAAATTCTTACTCACTAAATTGCTTAAAAAGACATAAAAGTAAAAAGTAACTAATCCTTCCACACACACACACACAAACAAACAAACAAACAAACAAAAAACTATAATAAACCTGGGAAACATTGAAATTTACTTCACAGTTGTTATAAAGAACGATAAGCTATTTGAAGGATTATAGATGATCAGCAAAATTTTGAAGGGGGGGGGGGAAAGGGAAGAAAATATTGTTCATATATTATATAAAACACACACAAAAATTCCTAAAGCTATGAGATGTAGCAAACAGATTCTTAAAGGAAATTCTTATACATCTTAAAGTGGTTTTTCAGCATAGTGAAGAGGTGTTAATGTTTCCATTTTCCATATAAGCTTGTCGATTATAGTTGTCAACTGACTATTTATAACATCCTTCATTTATCTTTGATATTATAAATATGTATTGAACTTAAATGAAACAAGTTAATCAGTTAAAAAATCACTTTATGCAGATTTCTTAATAACATTCTGCAATGGCTGTCATTCTACATCATGAGAGTCACAAATAAAATATTAGGTCCTAAAACCCTGTAAAGATTCATTGCAAAATTTCCAAGTCTACTTTTCGTGTGCCAAAATAAAAATGATTTTAAGGAAATTTTGTAGATTTCAATCCTTTATACTCATCACGTTTTTAAGTTTTGCTGAAATAGTAATATACATGTGATTGTAGATGATGACTTGAGGATTCGAATAGATAAATGGATGAAACTTTGCAGACAAAAATTGCCTTTGAACACATAATTTTATTTCATAAGTAAACAGGTTCACATATCATCGCGGGTGCAATATGCAACTGCACAATTTGAAAACTTACATTCTCCGATAATAGAGACTAAGCAAAGCAATAAGAACACACATATTGCAGGAGCAAGCAAAGCAGGGGGATAAAGGAATGCACAATAGTAGCAGACATGTTTATAATAAAAAATTTCTTCAGCTGATTGGTTGAAAACTTATCAATTTGCAGCATAGTTACATAAACATGAAATGGATTAATTTCCAGATGGCAAAATTTAGATTCTAATATTAGTATTTTTGAGTTTCATATATTTTTAAATTTTACACACACATATATACATATTTAATGTTTTCATATTCTTTTGTGTATAACCTTTAAAACAGAAATGTAAAAGCTTTTAAAATTTAAATTTTTTCTGAAATGGGGTTTAATTTTATTCAGCAGAAAAACCTTACCTTATGATCTGACAATAGTAGATATTGTTTTTGTTTAAGAAACATAATGAAATATTTTTTCTTAGTCCAAAGGGCATTAGCCCAGAAGGGCTATTAATTTGTTTTGGCATTCTGCATTGAAAACTTTAAATGCAGTTCATTTTTCAAATTGTTGCTAGCAAATATTATCGCCCTATGTTATATTCAAAGAAATTAAATAATGAAGAATCTGCATATATATATGTATATTTCTTGCATTGTGATAAAACAATGGTACCTAGAGCCATCAAATTTTGAATAACGTAATTTTCCACCGAATATGGACATCTGGAAGCCAAAATTTGAAATCTGTTTTATTATCGATCTCATATTTTGTAACACTTCAACCAATTTTTGATTAACGAACTCAATGATTTCAAAGCGAGCAACGGCAAAACTGTATGAGAAAAATAAAAATTTGTTATCTCTAGCGCGCGAGACTGTGTATCGGAAATTCTAAAGATATGCTCATTTTAAAATTATTTTGTGATATTTAATTTTATGGTTAAGTGCAAAGAACATGATATTTAATAAATAAAGGTAACACACAAAAGGTTAAAAAAACTTCCCTTTGGACATGATGTAAAATCTGAAAGCTTTTAGATTAAAAAAAAAATTTTTTTGCATTTAATTTTTTATTTAAATTAAATTAATTTTTAATTTAAATTAATTAATTATTTAGTTAAAAAATTTTTAATAGAAAATTCATTTCTTTGACATATTAGAATAAAAACTTCTGGTTTTCTTCTTCATTATTATTATTTCCATCATACAAACCTTTTAAATAATTTATTCGATTCTTGGAAGAAGTTTCCTTTTTTCCTGTGCAAAGAATTTATATATTGCTCATGTTTAATGAAATGAATATATACTAGCACTTTTTTTTTTAATCTTTTACATCTAGCAACTGCTATGAATATTCATTTTGTTGAGAATATTTATTCTGCAATCAATTTTGAAACCAATACATTTTTGCAAAAATTTATTCTTTATTCTATTTGAAAACTGGGATTAATTAATTGTTCAAAACAAAAGCTTTTTGAGATGAAACTTTTACTAGAGCTGATCATATTAAAAGTTTATAGCTATTTATTAATAAATGCTACAAGCTAATAATATATTAATTAATTATACATAATTAATTATTAGCTAATAAAAATATAATGCTATAAAAACTAACAGATGTGCTTTTTTAAGACACTTCATCTCCTAATGTTTACATATGAAATGAACTAATTTCTAATTAAAAATTTTGGCTATTGGATTATGGGCAAAAATTAGAAACTACCAATACTTGTTTCTGTAATAACAGCAAGTGCCGAATAACAGTCTCCAAATAATGTTATTTTTTTTTTCATAAGACACTTCATCTCCTAATGTTTACATATGAAATGAACTAATTTCTTATTAAAAATTTTGGTTATTGAATTATGGGCAAAAATCAGAAACTACCAACACTTGTTTCTGTAATAGCAGCAAGTGCCGAATAACAGTCTCGAAATAATGTTATTTTCTTTCATACATTGTGTTTTTTAATTTTTTAAAGGCTGCAATAGCATTTCTCTAGTTTTCACCAAATTTTTAATTTTAAATGTCACATATTTAACAAAGTGCTTAAAGGGGCTGCTTTAACAATGAAGTACTAATTATTATTATTATTATATAAATTCCTTAAAATAATTAGTAAAAATTCTGGAAAATGTCGAAATATTGAAAAATCACCCTGCTTCCTAAATTTAGTACAGAAGTTAGTGCAAATGAAAATGTATAGTTATTAATATTTAATTAATTTTAAAGTATTACACTAACCTTCCTTCAAATTATTACTTAATTTTTAAAAAAATTATTTTGACAAAGCTACACATAATTAAATCCAGGTTTGTTCTAGAAAATTAATGGGAAAAAAAATTAAGTAAATAGAAAATCACGTTATACACTATATGTTCAATTTGAGGAACAAATGGACATTGTTAATTTTGAGCAGTATGTAATAAAAATGGCTCACAGAGCATTTTTTTTTTTTAAACTGAAGACTTGGCATATTAAAATATTTAAAAGTATTTGTTACACAGAAACAGATTAATTAAAACTGCTGATTTAAAATCAACCAAAATTTCTTACTCAGTAAGCATTAGTTTCCAAGAACTAGTTATTAACATGGCATGCAAAACAGACTATAAATAGAAATACACTCAAAACTACTTCTAACACTAGAAGCTGAAATTTATTATAAAATGATATAAAACTCCCTATATAATACATGAATATTAGAGGCTAACAACATTTATTCATATTTCTATTTAAACAGCATGCATGATCTGCTATCAATTAAAAAAAATGAGCAATATTATTTACACAACAAAATATTCTACAACAATTTACTTAGAACAGTATAAATAGAAAGTTCTAAACATGCAGGGGAAAAAGTCACACTTTTTGTGGCCTAGGGACATTGTGTGGAGCTTCATTAAATTCCTCCAATTCTTCTCCAGGATCAGATTCAGATGCAAGTTGAAAGTATTGCTCACTTCTTGTGGGCCATAGGAGATGAGCCATGATTGCATAAGCCAGAAAATCTGCACTAGAGGTAATACCTGGACATGAAAGTTATTCATAATTTAATATTAAACACAGATAATATTGTAAGCTTTAATAATTTTATATGATAAATATCAAAGTCTACGTACAAAATTAGATATTTGAAAGCATAGTGAATGAAATTATTTGTGGAATGAAATATGGATAGATATGAGGCTAGAATGGAAAAAATCTTGAACTTCAGTAATGAAAGCAGTAAGGGCAGAAAAGCAGAATGAAATTAGAATATGCAGAAGATAGCAAAGATAGAAAAAACAAAGTGAATTTAAGAGTGAAATAAAGTGAATAAGTGAATTCAAGTGTGACATTAAGTGTAAATAAAGAGAACATAATATTGGAACAGAGGGAATAATGGCATTGAAAGACAAATGGCAACTGAAGCAACAACCAATTTTTTTTCCTTTCTGTGCCCTATATGTATAAGTGAATATATATGTTACCGGCAAAGTTTGAAATCCAGCATTCTGTAGAATGCTTAATGGCAATGTATGAAAAGATTCATATTTCATACATTTCCTAGGCGTTCTATAGAATGTCCAATGATAAACTGGCAAAGTATGAAATACATCTCTGATTCGTATATAAATACAGAGGAACAGCTAGGAAAATTAATCGAAAGCATCCAAACAATGAAAAATGGTGAAACTAATCAGATTATGCAAGAAAAAGAGCCTATTTAAAAAAAAACATGGATGAGATTACAGTCGATAGTGGATTAAACCAACTTGATGAAGGCATGCTTACCGAAGAGATTTCCGTTTCTGATAACTGTTGTGGGTGTTTAAACGAAAGGAGTGATGCACTTGCATACCACAGAAGGTATGATTTTTTTACGAACACTTTTCGTAAAAAAACATACCTTCTGTGGCCATGGTATTAAAAATGATGAAATGGATATGCTGTGCACCCTTTGTTTCAAAACTGAAAATGCTACTGAAGGTAAAATAAATTCTAAAATCAATCTGGAAATACAAGCAAAAAAATGAAAATGAATTTGGAAAAAAAAAAATTTCCACAGCTTCTTTGGGAACTACTGTGCGAGTTCCTTTTCCCAATGTCGATAAGGGGCGACTTGGAACTTCTGAAGGATTTTAAAACAAGTATATGCAAGATCACAATTCACCTAGGGACTTACTTAGAATTGAAGATATTCCTGACCATAAAATTCCTTTCTGATCAGTTGCAATTGCTCAATCCAGTGGAGGGGGCCAAGGATTCGTCAAATGTATGTGTAAAACAAAGTGTCAAACAAAATATAAAATGTCTTTGTGTGAGAAATGTAATTCAAAATGTCTTTCTACTATGTTACAACTATTAGGTTAATTTTAATTTCTTATTTTTTATATGAAAATTTTATTTCTGTTAATAAGAAAGGCCTAAATTTTGTTTTGTGCAACTTTCATTTTTCTTTACGTATTTTGAATAAACTTTTTAATGACACTCTCATTTATTTTTCCTGAATAACATTATTATTTTTGAGGAATTCACATTATTTATGTAATAGCCTTATCAGAACCTTTTTTCCATACGTTTACATAAATAGCATTTGTCATTCTATAGAATGCCTAGGTATTATATACAATGCCTAAAGAAAATATGTAATAATTCTCATATTTCATACTTTGCCTAAACTGTTCGACACTGTATACAATGCTGCCGTTTCATTGTAACATTGAATTGCCGGTAACATTTATAACATTGAATCCAACATTGATCATTGAATATATATATTGTTCCAGGAAACTAAGAGAAAAAATAGTTTTTTCCCCTCTTTGAATAAAACATGCAAAGGAAAAAAACTCATGAATTTTTTCAGTATTTTCACAATATATTAGCACATGATATTATTTTCATGATATGAAAATTTTGCATTCACTATGATGCAAAAAAATTGCATTTCAGCAAAACAGCAACTTATTGCTATTTAATTTGCATAAGACCTGCACTTTCCGTCATAAGTAAGTGAAGTGGATTTCAGGCTATATTATCATTATATATCATATCATTTTATGCTATACTATTATAACTAAGGGGGGAGATAAGGGTTTCAACCACAGGAATTTTGTACCAACACTTCATGTTGCTATCATTTGTAATATTTTTGTCATTATTTTCTAGCGAATAGTGTTTTTATTTAATAAACGGGCATTTTCTTAAATGCATTGCATAATGTACTGAAATGTGCCTCTGAACTTGTGCCATTGTCCAAAATGTTCAACTTCTACCTCCTGACATAAATTCTATGTGCTAATAATTTAGACACACTAGACTTCTAAGAACACCTTAAATTCAAAACTATTCCTAATGTGCTAGATTTAAAATTTTCATAAAACTTTAGCACCAGCTGAAAAGCCTAACTTTAACTACAATGAAATGAATGAATGATGAAGGAAAGCTTTTGCTTTAACTTATTTTATCCTAATATGGTAGCTTGCACTCAGTTCTCTCAGACATGCATTAATAAGTTTAACTTTTACAAACTCACTGCTTTCCAAAAATTAAAGAAAAATAACAAAAAACAGCAATAACGTTTTCAAAAATAAGCCAATCCATATAAAATTTAAATATGCTTTCAAATAAGAATTGCTGAGCAAAACTGCAGTATGCAAATTAGTGGTACTGTCATTATAAAATTTTAATATGCTTTCAAATAAGAATTGCTGAGCAAAACTGCAGTATGCAAATTAGTGGTACTGTCAATTAATGGTACTGTCTGATATATGTCATTTGCGAGGAGCATAAAATTGCATGTTTCAGAGTAAGCTTGCAAATTTTGCTGTGATAGAGATAAGAAATCTGGGATAAACAGTTTTTAACAATGACCTCCAGGCATCATTTGCCCAAAGAACTGCAATGGGGAGCTACTGAGAGATTAGAGGCAGGATAAAGTCAGAGAGTGGCCAGGTAGCTAAATGTGAGTCCTTCTGTGACAACAATTTTTAACCATTTGGCATACAGGAAGTTCAGACAAGGATGCCAACCGGTACAATGAGCACTGATGACCAATCTTTGTTGTTATGCCCACAAAGGAATAGAACCTCAACTCATAGCCTCCTTTGCTGCAGCCACTGGAAGGTTGGTGTCAACATCAATCATGCATAGAAGGTTTCAAGAAAGAGGTTTGTACACGAGAGGGTAACCACCATTTGTTTGCCGCTCACGTAATGTCATAGAAGAGAAAGTCTGAGGTGGGCATGTCAACATGTCTACTGGACAAATAATCAGTGGAGGGCTGTTCTCTTTACGGATGAGTCCAGGTTTAGCCTCCAAAATGATAGTAGGCATTATTTGATTTGGAGAGCACTTGGAACCTATTATCATCCATGAAAGAGATGCACACGGAGGAGACAGCGTCTGTGTTTTGGGAGGACACACAGACCTCCCTATCTTTCCACATGGAACCCTGAATGCTCAGGCCTATAGAAATAACATCCATGATGCTTATGTGTGCTCTTATGCCAGGGCAATAGGTAATGATTTCCTGCTACAGGATGACAACACTAGACTAGACAGGGTTTGCATCGTGAATGCTTATCCTCAGCAGTATACAATTCAGCACATGGAGCTCGATCACTGGACCTGAATCCTATCAAACATGTTTGGGATGCTCTAGAAAGACATACAGCTGCTCTCAATTCTCCTCTTCACACCCTTGCCATGCTTCGAACTGCTTTGCAACAGCAATGGCTCTCACTTCCAATGGAGATAGGCAGCATAATTAACAGCATCACACATCACTGTATTTGTTGCATTAGAAGGAATTCAGCGATTAAGGAAGGTAATTTTCCTACACTAAAATGACACATCCAATTTGTTCATTTCATATATATGCTAATTTCTATACCATAGTTGTCTGGTAATTTCTTTTCACGTTTTTTTATACCTTACTATGACTTGTATACTGTGGGTCAATTTCATTAAATTCTACATGAAACTTTTTGAGTGATCGTTTTGTGATTTCTCCTTAATTAATATTAACAAGTATAAGTTAAGAGAATAATTTTACATTTACAAAACTAATTTAGCAAACATATTTCATAAACATATTTCCTGTGACATTTACAACATTTATATTTAAATGATTACTCAGTTTGCACTTTACATCAGAAGACACAGAAGTCACTTAACTTATAGTGTAACAGTATACCAAACTGTGTTTAAAACAGTCCCTTGAGTTGAGTCAAAATCTCATTTTTGTACTAAACATAAAATCATTTAGATAATATTAACTTCTTCCAAAGCAGTCTCTTGGACTAAAGTAAATAACTCATTTTTATACTGAACTTAAAATCATTTGGATAATGCACAATTAAATTACAAGCTTCTTGCTCTATACAAAACTAAAATGTCCTCACTTGAGGAAAAACTCAAAATAAGCAGCAGCTGTTACACTTAAAGATATAAACCAAAATAATCCAAAAACTGAATACTTGAAGAACATAAATCTATCTTTTTCTCTTGTAATAATCCTTCATTTGCTTGTCCACTAATTCTATGGGAGGTAAGTATTTATATGTTAAAGCCTTACTCTTCAGTGCAACTTTTGCTCTGCTTCTGAATGCAATGGCATTTTCTGCTTCAGGGTTTTTCCCAGATCCTGGTGGACTTCCTTTCTGGCTGGAGAAATTTTGGAGATGCCAGCCACTGCCTTGCTACTGGATTTACAGTTGTCTATCTCCACTAGTTTCCTGTGACTTCATCGGTTATGCTTGCTGTTGCTATTGCAGTCAGAATCCTCATTTAGTTCCTTTGAAACTTTCTCCAATGCGAAAGCTCATCATCTATCAGGCGCTTTCCGCATGAATTCTGCCGTAGGTAACTGTACTTTTCCCTATAGCTGCGAGCATTTCTCGGCCCCTAATTCCTCATGCATTGGCCTTCTACTGATTGATGTTGGTTACTTGGTTGCTCCCTGCATCTGCTGGATCTTCTTAACTTTCCTCTCTTTCTGGAACCTTCCTTTTTAGCTATTTGGGCTTCCTCTGTCCATCAGTTGGCTTTCTTTTGAGTGGCTGCATTTTGGTTTTTTCCCCCCCTTCATTCCCAGAGTTGATGGAAACTTCTCCATATTTCCCAATGACCCTTCATTGTTCAGACTACATGATTCCTACACAATATCTATAAGAGGTACATTAGCATGCTCGTAATAGCACTTTATTTGATCCAGGTTTGCCTTTCACATTTCTTTATTTGGGGCTTTTAACAATATTACAGTCTCCTTTATTTGTTCAACCCTAATAAGGCCTCAAAATTTATTCCAAAATTTACCCCACTTTATCTTGACAGTGCATGAAAAAGAATGTTTAATTTTCAAGACTTTATCTCCCATCCTAAAGTTAGATTTCCTTCTTTTCTTGTCAATATATATATATATATATATAATTATTTTTTTTTTTTTTTTTTTTTTTTTTTGCTTTTCCCTAGCCACATCTGAATTTCTGATACCTACATTAACTAGTTTCTGGATTCTACAAACTGAAATTACTCAGACATCTTTTTAACAAAAAATATATATCAAAAGGCATAATTAATTTTCTGGCAAGAAATAATTCAGCTGGCTTCTTCCTGCTAGTATCATGCTTAGCTGCCATCAGGGCAAATACAAGTTCATTGATGCAGCTAACTCAGTATTTACAATATTTTTTTATATAGCTGCAAATGATTTTAATAATATTTCTTTTCACTCATTCTGCAATATTTGATTGCAGCCAATAAGGAACCAACTCGAAATGTCGTATGTCAAGTCACGAATGTAAATCCTAACAAACTGTTTGCCATTATCTAATATTACCTTCAGTTGGGCCCCATATTTTATATAAAATTATTTAAGAAAGAATTAGCAACAGTTTTAGTGGAAACTCTTTTGAAAGGAACTATTTCTACCCACTTTGACAAATGATCTGTGATGAGCAAATATTCCCTTTTGTTAATCTATTACTTTCACTATGCATGTATCAGCCTAATATGTCAGTTCCCATTAATTCATTAGAGTAAGTAGCTTCTGTGCTATTTAGATACCTGGCTGTTCTATAATTAACATCGGCAACAAATATTATAGGACTTGACATACTGACTAATAAATTCTTGTAGCTGTGGAAAGTAGACAGCTTCTCAAAATTGCACACCACTTTTATTATCCTGAAATAGGCAGATCATGCAATTACTGCAAAATACTTAATCTCAAACTTGCTGGGATAACCAGTCTTAATTCATTATTTTTCTTTGTTGATTTGGAATAAAATAAAAGATATCAATAATTTCATAAATAGCAGCTATTTTTGATGGCTGTTATATCTTAGTATTCAAAATGATCAGGATCTTTCAAGTAAGCATTAACATTTTAAAATTCCGGGTCTGTTTGCAACTCAAATAATTATTTCATGAGAACCTAAAATTTTTAAGTTATCCTCATTGCACACTTGAGTTGATTCTTCTAGTCTTCTAATTTCCTTTTCAACACAGCACCCACTACCACATTTTCTTTTCGGGGAGCGTTAAGTGTTTATATACTAAATTTTATTCTTGAAGTTCAAGGGCCCATCGCATGAGTCTTGGTGACAAATTCTTCCTGGAATAAAAATGAACCATGGCAGCATGATCTGTATAAATTTTTATAGGTTATTTCCCAAAATAAACTTTAAATTTCTGAAGCACAAAAAGAACTTCTAAGATTTCCCTTTCTGCAGCTGTATAATTTCTTTGTGTTGGGCTAAGTGTCTTCCTAAAATATGCAATCAGCTGTCCATCTTACATAAGCATGTTTCCTACCACGAAATTCAATGCACATGCAAATATTTCCAATCTTCTGTTTGCATCAGGGAACTTGGTACTTGGATTTAAGCTTTTTTCAAGTTTTTGAACACTGTGTTTGCTTTGTCCAACCAAGTAAACCTGGTTTTCTTTCTTTTTAACTTTAATAACGATTCTGCTATCTCTGCAAAATCTTGATAAAAGTCCACTTAACCCTTTAAGGACGGGCATCCCATATATGCATTCCCTAAGAACGTCTCTTACAGCCGGGTGTCCCATCCACGCATCAGCAAAGATCGCATTCAGAGGACGGGTGATGCGTATACGCATTTTAAGGTGGAACGTTTTTCTGAAGGCCAGTAGATGGCATCCTGCGTCCATTACTTTTGAAATGAACACAGTTTTAGGTTCCTGACCTTGAGTTTGATATATTCTGCATGACTTTGGTATTTTACTCATCAACTAGCTGTTGCAAGGGTGGGGGGGAGAGGTAAAGTGTAAACAGAGGTGGCTCTTTAAATCACGGTGTGCTAATCTGAACATTCGTGTGTCTGATTTATATCCAATTCCTTTTTTTATTCTAATTTTTCCCTCTAATAAGGTCTTTTAGCGTTACTATGTGGAATTTTGTTACATTTTGCATTGCCTTCAGATATCTTTCTGCTTCTTCTCTTTTTATTTCGGAAAAGCCGTCACCTATAGTCTGTTATGGTGGGAAGGCACTATTTATCAGAGGAAGAGTACCCTCGTATGGTTAAGTGAACCATTTACTAATGTAGATGAGAGTGATGATTTATTTTCTAAAGACTTAGAAAGTGATACCTTTTTCTAAGAGTTAGAAAGTGATACTTCTCCGTGCTTCGAGATTTATCACACTCGTTTTCATTTTAAATTTTGTTACTTCTTACTGTAAATAGTCTTTATTGTGTTCTTTTTATTAATTTTAAACTTTATTGATGGATTTTATCAATTAAAACTTTGGAATAATTTGAATAGCGCTTCCGAAAATTATTTTAGAAGATAAGCAATTAAGTATATTTTCATGTAAAATAAAGAAAAAAATGTTTTAAGGGCTAATTCTAACATATATAAGAGCTCAAGTAATAATCTAAAATGATACCAAAAATTACGATGCTAGAAGCGAAACTTTTGTTTTTCTGATTTTTGTTATAAAATTAGGCTTAGCGGTGCAAAACCTCCATCCTGTATGGTGACTGCCTTCGATTCTCTTCCGCTCCGCACGAGCGTCTTAAACAAAGGTGCGCCGTCGCGAAAAGGTTAATAGGAACACAAGCCCAAAAATTGTAATACAGAGTACTAGCCCCAAACTGATAACAGGAATACAAGCCTAAAAATGAGGCTACTTTCATTGCTGTATTTCATGAGGATAATCTTTACTGCAATTATTTTGGAATCTTTGGTATTGATCCCTTTATGGGATATCTTATAGCCCAAGCAATGAAGTTTTTTGGCAGCAAATTTACATTTGGCTGCATTTATTTTAAAACCTGCTTCTTTTAGGAAGCAAAAACACTTCACATACATCTCAAATATTTTCATTTATTGTTTCACTAGTGACAATATTATCACCTAAAATAAAAGTACTTTTACTGAAGCTAGGTCTTAGTATAACATCCATGGCCCTATTGAAATCTGGTGGGTGCTCCACATATGCCAAATGGCCTTCTCAAGAAGGCATAAACCCATGACTTGGTAATAAATGCAATTTTTTGCACATCTTCATCAAACTGATGCCATGCCAGAGATTACCAATGCATCATTGAAACTGGAAATTCCACTTCTGGTCAGTCATTATGTATTTTATGCCACTGGTGCCTTACTCTGTTACAGAAAATTAAATAATTTGTTCTGCAACTGTTTAAATATCTCTGCATACAATTTAGCATATTTCTGATTATTCCTTCATAACACAACACTTTCTCTGTCCTGCTACATATATTCTGAGTAGGTAATGACTGTGGATAACAATTTCTTCCTGTCTACAAATAGTGCCTTTTAAATTTAATGGATTGTGAATGACAAATCTATCTAATAATTAATTGCATTAAATTCTGAAACAAAATGATACCAGTTAAAGCCAACCATAAAACAGAACCAGAAAGAAATTTAACAGTTCATCTTTAAAAATCCATGTGTTCAAAAAGCACAGTTTTTATCATAAGATTTTAAATGTTAAATTATTAGAAATTATTCCAACTTTAAGCTCATGAGAATATTTGAGAGAAGGAAAAATAAATAAATAAATAAATAAATAAAATAAACATACATACAAGAAGAGAAAAAAGTAACTACCAAGATTTTACATTATACATTAGCTTTTATATCATACAATTTTTTTTTATTTTACATATCAGATTGTTAATATTTTAATTAACAGTATTCACTATATAGTTTTAGCATAAGCTTACCTAGAAGAAGTTTTGCCCTCCATAATGCAGAAATCTGTAGTGCGATCAGTGCAACAACAGGAAGGTAGACAAACCAAACTAGAATTCCAGCACCAAAATGAACATAAAAACGTAATTTGGCTCGATCATTCTCATCAAGCATTGTTGATCTCAGTTCATACAAGAACCATATCATTATGGCCAGCCGAAAAATTAGAATAATCCATCCAGGAAACGTTTGATATTCATCAATATCGTCAATGACATCAACTTCAGTCTTTAAAAAAAAAAAAAAAAAATTAAGGGAAAAAACGTTTTACATATTCTGTTCAGTCCCCCCCCTGTAAAAGCCTGTTTTATAATCTCTAAAATTAAGGTACTGCATATTTGGTGACATTAGTGAGCTATTAAGCTTTAAATCTAGCCAGAAAAACATACAAGGCTCAACTATTTAAGTAAATGCTTCAATAACACTCAATTATTTTTTTAGTTCTTCTTTTAAATTCTTTAAATTTTTTAAAAATATTAAATGAAACTACTTACTATGTATGATTAACTACTTATTTACTTATTCACTATGTTCATTTATTGTACAATACTTCAATGCATTTTATGGCATGTTGTACTTTTTATTTTATTTATTCAAAAGCTTCCATCAGTATTACTACTATTGACCAGTTGTACTGCTGATACATGACACAAAAACAGTGTTTGCTGACATTTCTGCACATGGCAATTAAGTATTTTTAAGGTCCATCAGAAAAGAATTAAAGATTTATCAGCAAATGGGAATTGAACTACTCAAAGAAATTACAAATGCTTGAATTTCACTTTTGTAATACCATTCTAAAAATAAAACACAACTGTAAACAGGATGCATTATTATTAAACATAGTCTAATATAATTATAAAACAATTTTTAGAATAAAATCATCTCTGTAAAATTTATCAAGCAACAAGCATTAAATTAAAAATTTCTTAAAACATTTATATTTTACACTCGTTTGTGTTGGAGCTTTGTGTAATACCATATACTGTTTTAAAGAAGATTAGTGACATTTTATTCAAGTTTCACAAACAGCTTTATGTTGGTTCTTTCTTTTATGCCTCTTTTTCTTCTGTACTCATTCTAGATTTTATGTTAAGTGGCATAAGTTAAATGAGAAGTAAATTCATAATCAACACGATTTACAACAGAAGCTTGGCTGTTGTCGATGCTGCTGGTTGAGAAGATCTGCTGATCAGAACAGAAGTAACATACGAAATTGGGAAGTTAGTAAATGCTGAAAGTTATCCTTTATCTTTTTGATTCAATTTGTGTCATAGCTTTGCATAGAGTTGCTGGAGTTGTACCCGAGTTAATATACTATGTAAAGTTCCAACAAGCTGCTGAAGTACCAGAACCAGAGGTAATAAGTTCTTTCGTATTATTTTAAGTTTCTCTAGCTCTAAGGCATAAAGTTTCATTAGTAATCCTCTAAGAAATTCATACCCCCAAAAGAGACATTTTGCTTTGTTTTTATGTCACATTTTATGAAATCTTCATTCATGAAAAAGAAATAATTTTGAAATATCTATGTTTCAACTGAGGTACAGTCTCGAGCCCAGAAATTCAAGTATATTGGTGGACAATTGCTAAGGATGGATGACAGCAGCAGCGATATCAACCACAAAATGGAAAGCAGGAAAATATGCAAATTAACATAAACGTGGGATAGTAAGACATATTGTGTGCACGCAAATTTTGTATTTTTGATGTTGTTCATCACACGATGAGCTGATAAAAGAAATAAAGGATTTGACACATATTGACCTTTGCTGTTCAAAAGCAAAATTTAATGGAAAAGAATTAACTGGCGAATTTGCAATTTTCAGTATGTCTTCCCGACATCACTTATATGATTATACGCATGGCCATATTACTGGCATCATTGAAGAAGGGTGAAAAATAACAGATGTTGCTAGAGAGTTCATCAGACACAGTACTGATCCAAAGCATTGGAAATCATTCGAAACAAATGGAATGTGTAGCAAACATCACAGGAGAAGTCGTGTTTGCAGCATGACACCTGCAGAAGATAAGTACATAGTGCAATAAAAAAAAAAAAAAAAAAAAAAAAAATGCAGCACAGTTTTTGAGGTAGCAAATCAATTACTTGTTGCTACTGCCAAGTGAATCTCCTGAAAAACTGTAGCCACACATTTGCATTAAGGAGGATTAAACGCCCACTATCCTGTTGTGTGCATTCCATTATCCAGACAGCAATGTACTGCCTGTTTGTAATGGTATCACGAACATCATAATCAGAACTGGGTTTGTGTATAGTTTTTAGATAAGAGTATTCTGTCAGTGTCACTTCACTCTGTTACTGGATTATAGGTGCTAACTGATCTGGGGTAAAGTTCTGTTATTGGGACCAGATTTAGAAATGTAGGTATGTATGTACGAACGTGTAATTCTGTGTATGTGTATACACACAATTTTTCTGAATCCGATCAAAATAACAAAAGAGTACCTGATCTGGCATGAAGGGTGGTGCTGCTTTTTGTGCAGAAAATGCACAGAAAAGGACCAGTATCTGCGATGCAGTATCATGCTATGGGCCAGCACTGTGATCAATGGTTACAACTAGGACTATGACTGGCCAACAATTCATTAATGATGTTCTGCTGCCACATGTTCTGTGATGTTATCAGTTATAAATTTGTTTTCATGGACAACAACACACCATGTGATCAAACAGCTGCTGTCCAGGAGTGTTGAGAGTGAGGATATTCAACGTCTTGCATGGCCAGCACGTTCTCTAGATCTCAATCCCATTGAAAATGTTTGGGATACTTTGAGATGGAGTCTTGTTGGTCGACAATGTCTTCCAATAAACAAGGACACATCATTCGGGCACTGACAGAAGATAAATTACTCCAACAGCTGTTGTGCAAAAAATGACACAACATGTGAAATCTTACACTGCCTTCAATGGTGATTACACCCTGAATTGACATCTTATGCCAGAATACCTTCAAAAGGGTAACTGCATTTTTTTCACTTTTACGTGTTCAGCACAATATGACCCTTTTGTCCCTTGAACATTTTTCAAAGCCTTTTACATTTGAGCACAATAAATTACCTTTATTGCTGTATTCTGGCATTATTTTATTTCACTTAGCATCCAAACTTACTTTTAACACACTGTATAGCTGTTTGTGATTCGTCCTTAGCAATTGTCCACCAATGCATTGCACCCTTCATATTAGAAATAGGAATGAACTCGAGTAAAAATCCACCAAATGTATATTTGTGCCAAAAAACTGCCAAAAAATATTCCTCCAAAATGTTAATTCACACTCAAAATTGCAATCTAAAAAACAGACAGAAAAGTTTGATGAGTAAAATTAAGGGTCTTTTGGAAATTTGGCTGAAATTAAAGACTTGTAATGACCAAAAATCATTTCTAAAAAGCCTAAGGACTGTATGAACCCTGTGAAAATTTAATGCTAAAACTTTTCATTTACCGTATGCCAATACACACAGTTTAACATCAACGTTTTGTCACACTGGTTAATCTAGTGCTAACAATCAATCAATTAATGATGAATTAATAATAAAAGCAATTGTAATTCTTTATATGCCACAAAACTAATCATTAAGATATTAAATGCTTGTTTTAAATATACTTGACATGAACACCAGAGTCTACGTTTACATTCTTGCATTACTTTAAATTGAATATGATACAATCTCCAATAATGAAGCTTTTCTCAAGAATAATAATAAAGTAGAATTTAAATAATCCACAAATGCTACAACTTTTTGGATGCAAACAAACCCAAAATTCGATATAGTAGCTAATCAATCAGCAACTTCTGTTATACATAAAAGCAAAAAAATTACATTATATTAATACATTAATAAAATATTTTGGTTGAAAAAGCAAATTAATTTTATTAATGAAGTTATTTAGCTCAAAACCAAACACCATTTTTACTATAAAGAAATGAAAGCATTTATGTTTCCTTTGACTAAGGATCTCCTAATGTGTAGGATACTTAAAAAAAAAATTAAGAAGAATTAATAGTATCTGTATAACAGATATATTTTAATTTACATATGTTGTATACTACAGTATACTCAAAACTATTAAGCATTTAAAAATTACACATTGTTGAAAAACAAATTTAAACAGAAAGCATATACATAGTTGTTAATGATCCTAGAAAACTATTTTTAAAGTATTTACGTAAGAAAACTAATGTTTTGGCAAAGACAGATATCTTTTTTTTTCTAAAGTACAGAATGACATAAGTTTCAGGTTGATTAATTAGTTATTTTACTATTTTGTCTTTCCTATCACTTCTTTTTTCAACAAATTCCACCAGGATGCAAATTAGTCAATATATATAAGCACAGATTTCTCAAGTTGCTTCAGCTATAGCTTTAGGTAACCTTGCTGATCTGTTACATTATTATTGCCCCAGTGTTACTGAACTGATTCACTGGCTTTAACTTCAGTAGTTACAATTGCTTCATGTAAATTTAAGCTTTGAGTCAAAGTTTATTTAAGTGCATGTTACTTTGTGTTTAATATTGTTGTGCAAAAAATGACACAACATGTGGAATCTTACATTGCCTTCAATGGTGATTACACCCTGAATTGACATCTTATGCCAGAATACCTTCAAAAGGGTAACTGCATTTTTTTCACTTTTACGTGTTCAGCACAATATGACCCTGAATGTCTGTCTTATGAGTAGCAGATACTAAGTTTCTTGTATTGCTCTAGTTTGTGTAACTCTCCAGCTGATGTGTAACTACTGTTCAGCTGATGTCTAAACATTTCAAATAAATACATTTATTTTAGATTTTCATTTGAGTCTGTATTTACTGTACTTAAAAGGTAAAGGAGGAGATTAAGTTGTATGTCTGTACAGTTCTAGGGAATGGCATTAAAACACAACAGAATTGTACAGTGAATGATTATATAGCTGGACACATTTTAAATACTCTAAAATTTTGCTATTCAATGCAAAAAGTACTAACCAGATATGACTTGAAATATTCTTGAGATACTTGAAACATTCGTGCTTTGTTAAAAGACTTTTTTTATTTTTAATGGATAAAAAATATTTTTTACTACACATATTTGAAATTTTGGTGTTTGAAAATTTATGTCTCTATTTCATCAAATGCATTTTCTTTTTCATGTGTTTAGCTACATACGCTAATTGCATTCCTATCTGACACAGGGAATGTTTCTTAATTATTCATCAATACATTAATAATTAAATCAGTTTCAATGCTTTTTTATGTCAGTAATTATTCATTCTACAATCCAGTGTTAGTCAGTGATATTGTCATAAATGAATTTTATTCTCATAATTCTATTTAAAAATCAAAAAGAAAAATATTTTATAGATAAATTTTGAAATTTAAAACAAAAATTATCTTCATTTGAAGAAAACGTTAACACTTTAAATGAAGAATAAAATGAAACAAGAAATGGGAAAAAGATATGCCACAAATTTCATAACAAACACAGTTCACATTTCTGCAATGTAGGAAAAATAAAATGACTTTTATTTGATATGCAGTAAAATGATTAAAGATAATACAGTTTATAAAAAAGAACTGAAACATATGCAAATACCCTTTGACTTATATAGCATTAGAAATTATAATTACAATAAGAAGCAAAATAATAAAAAATATGTTTAAAACATTTTATTTTTCATTTTCCTAATAACATCAGGTAACTAAACAGGTTTTTAAATATTGTTTGATTATCCATTTAATTTTGTTAGAGAACAATCCAAACATACTATATGCTTTTGATTTGTACAGTTATTTTCTCAGGAAAAATTATCACAGTGTTCATTAAGATTTTAATACATTCAAAAGCATTCAAGCAATGGAACAGATTATTAAAAAAGACTAAATCAGGTAATATTTCTGAGATATGAACTGATAACAAAAAAGTCAGCTCTGCAAATGACTGAGTGCTTGTATACATTTATTTTGAAGCAACCTTTATAAGAGGGAACTGTAATACCTATTGTAATTTAGAAAATTGGCAAAAAGATTTAAAATTAGTATTGTAACAAATGAATATCGTTGGCAATGCGCTCTACTGACAATATAGAGAAAATACTTAGTTCATGCACACGAACTGCAGAAGTGAGATGTGATTGTTTGAACTCACGCTCTGAACTTTTAAAAACTATTTTAATGTAATTCCATTTTGGAGTTTTATCATTTTCCTGTATGTTGTTGTTAAGTGTTAATAAAACGTCATTTAAAATTAATTCTTAATTAATTAATTTTGATTTTTTAAGCATTAATACTACAAGAAAATTGGCACCCAATGTGAGGCAGTTATATAGAGTTACAGAACGCGTTGAATTTACTTTTGTTTTAAGATATTTCATATAGATGTTGTGATAGACATTTTGTTGTCTTATGCGAAAGAAATGGATCTTCTTACTTCAGAGGTGCATTGCTAACATCTACCCCGATGTGTATAATTAAGATATGGAATCTTGACTTAAAGCTATTGACAATATTTGTATACAACAGTTAGGCAACACTAAGACAACTGCAGTGTTGAATATCTCATCAATGGAATATATGGCACAGGCTTATGGGAATAGTGGAGCAAGTCATTCAATCGCTGGCGAAAAACTGTACCAAATCTTGAAAGAAGATAGATTAAGTTCGAGAAAACCTCTTGCACTGTTTGTCTTGCTGATGGCAGCCAAACAACAAAAGACGTTTACGCAACTTGTGTGAAACTTGGCGTTGAAGGACGAACTTCCCTTTGACACTGATAGCTCTTTCTGATGCTACAGGTAATTGATCACTGCTTGAAGAAAACTTCCTAGAGGAAGCTGGAGTAGTTCTAAATATTTATGAGCAAAAGTTCACTTTTTTTCGCTGACCATCCAAATAAATAGTTTCCATTTGCTGAAAGAGTTAAAGTCCAATCCTGTGACATGTTAACAAATCTTTGTCTACTATGCCCAGACGAAGGTTAAAATCTAACTGAAGAGCAGCGAAAACGATTGAATGCCTTATTAGAAAAATACAAAGCTATGTTCTCTCTGGGGGGGAGAATCAAGTCCTTACATCGAGCACCGAATTAATACAGGTGACTCACCTTCATGGCTACAACCCCTTACAGACCATCTCCAGCAAGAAAGGAGATTCTGAAGAAAGAAATAGATGCACTTCTTGCATCAGGCATAATCAAACAGTGCGATTCACCATATGTAGCACCCGTTGTTTTAGTTCCCAAGCCGAATGGTGACTTTCGATTATATATTGACTACAGGAAACTGAATTTTGCGACTAAGTCTGATCCATACCGGCTACCTCATATAGATGAACTTCTTCATAATACAAAGCAAACCAGATACATGTCTACCATAGACTTAAAATCAGGGTATCACCAAGTTAAGATGTACCCTCCAGACAAGACAAAGACAAAACTGCCTTTGTATGTCAGTTTGTAACCTATAAATTCGACAAGGATGCCTTTTGGATTGAAGACGGCACCAGCCACTTTCCAAAGATTAATGGATATTTTCCAGAATGGGTTAAAGGTCAACACTCTTACTTATCGCAACGGTATTGTTGTGATGTCTTCACTTTTGCGAAGCATCACGAAGACTTGCGCTTAGTTTTTGATCAACTCTTCAAATTCAAGCTTCATACCAATCGAAACAAATGTCTATTTACTTGTTCTAAAGTGAAATATCTCAGACATTATATTACAAAATCTGCAATTGATTAAGTAATTGACTAAGTACCCTGCCAAAGTAAAAGTTATTCAACAAATTCCTTCACCAAAGAATGTGAAGCAAGTACAGAGTGTCCCTCAGACTTGCAGCTGGTATCAACGCTACATTCCTAATTTTGCAGATTAATTCCTAGTTTCTAAAGGTCATTGAGTAACCTCATGAAGAAGCACTCCACTTGGAAATGGAGATCATAAGAGAACATTTCTAAGAATGCTATGCAAAACAACCAACAAGACAATTCTTCCTCTGGCTACTCACTGAGACGTCTTTGCAGCCAGGGGGGGGGAGAAGACTGTAACAAATGAATATCGTAGGCAATGCGCTCTACCGATGATATAGAGAAAATACTTAGTTCAATGTACGTGAACTGCAGAAGTGAAATGTGATTGTTTGAACTCATGCTCTGAACTTTTAAAAACTATTTTAATGTAATTGCATTTTGGAGTTTTAGCGTTTTCCTGTATGTTGTTGTTAGGTGTTAATAAAACGTCATTTAAAATTATCTCCTAATTAATTAATTAATTAATTCTTTTAAGTATTAATACAGTATGGCTAAATAGCACTAGACCAAAACATTTTCATGCCCTGGACAGAAATACTCTCTAACACAACAGTATTTCCAAGAAGATAGGTTATTTAAATTAACTTTTTGACACACTTAGAGCCTTGGGTAACCATTTATATAGATAGCCTAGCTTTTAATTTAGCAGTCTGGTCACACAAACAACTAATGATTAGTTCTTTTTTTAGTAGCACATGTATTTAACAGACATTCCACATAATAAGAAAGTAAAATACATGATTTTTTCCCTATGGTAAATTCTTCTACAGTTAATTTTTGGAACACTATTCATAATTTGAATGGTGGTGTTAGTTCTTACACATTCAAGTTAACAAGAGTTCACTGTATTTCTATCAAACCATGCTGCTCTTTAAATAACTCGATTTAAAACCCAGAGCATATATTTTCTAGATTGTCTGATTTCTGGATTTTTCATCTTGTAAAAGTATGTAAACAGCTGTTGGTTGATTACATCTGCTACTGAGTTGTTAACAGTAACTAAATATTTATATCCTGTGGTAAATTAGTGAGGATTTGTAAGCATTTTGGGATTTAAAATTTTTTAGTATTCTTTGTTTAGGTCACATTTTTTGGCAAACTGCATAATTTTATTATGCTTATGCAAAATTAGTTGTATTACTTTTTAAAATAATTGAACTATCAGAAATTTTTTTGATGTTGATCCATATTGTATTATTTTGCTTGAATAAAATCATAACTTTGCTGAAAATTAAATCACCATATAGGACATTTACAAACTGAAAAACAACACTGGGAGGGGAGGATCTCTCAGGAAATTGTTCTCTATCTTAATATAAAATAAATAAATTCCATGTTTACCTTCCAACATTTTACTTAAAATATATATTATATATTTTATTTTTATTTTTTTTATTTCAAAGCTATATATAATCAACAGGTCAATTGCAATACGCTTGAATTAATAATTCAGCATAAAATTCATGATGCTATAACTTTATAAGAAAAAATTTGTTATAAAGCAGCATCAGAAGTTTACTCTACATGATGCTAAGAATGCTTTTTAAGATAATATTTTTAAAGATTATATCAGCAGTCAATTTCAAGATATAACATTAAATTAAAAATATAGTTACTTCAAGATCACTGACGAAGAGAAAAAGAACATATCTTTTACTTACCATATTCCAAACATATAATAAAACACCAACACATGTATAAAGAAGCCATACACAAAAAATCACAGGTTTCCATGTTAATTCTGTACGAGTTATTGCCCACCCTTTTGCAAGAAGAAGCAAGAGTAGCATAAAAAGGCTCTAGAAAATGAAAATAAAGAATTTGTGATATTACACTTTATATTTATTATACAGACAATGGAATTTAAAATTAGAGCATTATATATTCTGAAATTCTACAGTGTGAAAACTACTTTTATAGGAAAACTCTAAACATTTTTATCTTTCAGAAGAAAAGAGCATAGGAATAATCATACTCTGCAAACTTCTAGATATTATATAAACAGCTGAAATAGCACATCTGCCTACTTCAAATATCAAAACAATTCCAGATTTTTACACTTAAAAGTGAACAACTGAAAAAGTTGTGGTGAATTTTACACATTTACACAAATGCATATATGTATGTATTATTAACATAAATAAATTAATAAATAATTACCTGATAACAGTATCACTTTAAAACATGCATAAGGTAAACCAAACATGTACGTCCATAAAGAATCAAAAGAATAAAAGTAAAGTTAAATTTAATTTTAAATAATTACCTCTAAATAATTTTAAATAATTATTTTTACCCTTGCCTACATGGATGATGAAACACAAATTGAATGATTGAAGAGTTAGGTGTGAAGGCAACTTCCACTTGATAAGTCTGTCTCCTGCCTGCTCAACAATCATTCACTTATGCATTTTTATAAATAAAATTTTTTAGGATTAAATAATTTTTGGAATTTTAATTTTATATTTATTCATGGATTTTGATACTTGCACTTGATTTACATATGTTCTCAGAATTTAAATGATTCACAACAATAATTAATCATTTATTTGTTTGCATTAAATTTCATTTAAATTTATTAACTTTAAATTTGCTTTCTACAAATAGAGAATGTTTGTTTAAAACATAAAGAATCAATGATGTCATTTATTGTACGTATGTTATTATAACAATTACTTAACCAATTTAACTTTCTTCTTACAATTTTCATTCTTCATCTGCAATACAATAGTTGTTAACATGCTTAAGTGTATTTTAGTCATTGTATTAGCACACTGATGTATACAAATGAACAAATACCCTATTGTACAGAGCTTTGTCACTCATTATTTATCCAGTCAAATCTCTATTTAACTAACACTCTCTTTAGCAAAGTTTTTCATGGGATTTTGTCTGAGGTGCGAGTTTCTCTGTATAAACAACTCCAAATAGTGAAGTATACTATCCATTTAATGAAGTTTTTGAATGAATGATTTTTCAAGACTTTCTTTCTACTTTAAAATTTATTATTTATTCATTTGCTGCAACATATGTGTGCATGTTACTAAAGAAAAGCAAGTTATCTGCTGTCACACTCAATTCTACATGATAGATGAAGTGGGAGGAGAAAGATTCTAAAATGAGAAAGTATTTATCCATCATGTCATTGAAAATTCTCTAACTAATCCTGTTTTACAAACCAGTTTAAGTTAAGCAACAGCAGTTATGCTGTTTTTATTTCTGCTTTTCATGGTTTTATACTGCAAATTCTTTTTAAAGTTAGTTATGTATTTCATAATAAAAATGTCTACCAAAATGTCTACATAAATGTTCATGATAAAAATGTCAAAGAAAAAATGCTGATTCTCAGTGAAGTGGGCAGAGGTGTAAAGAAGAAATTGCCATAAAATTCAATACTTAGCAAAATAATTTATCGACAAGCCTAAAAACCAGGACAAAATTTTGTCAAGCTTTCATTCCACTGATCCAAGTGACAAGTTAAGAAAAAGTTATGAAAATATTAAATCTTCATTGCATAAACATCATTAAAATGGCTGTATATAGTAAGACCAAAAAAAAATTACTGGTATGAGAGGCTATTGATACCGGAAAAAACTATGCACTTTGCCAAAGCTTTAGGACAAAGTGAATTTCATGCGAGCAGTGGGTGTCTGGAGCATTGGATTTGATACTTTATGATGCAGTGTTCAGTTTGAAAAAAGTGTATCAGAAAATATTTTCATAATTTCCCTATTTAATTCCCATATTTAGTTGCAAATTTCCCTATTAGTTTAGAAGTTTTTCACGAAAATTCCGCCATCTTCATTAAATAGAGGTTTGACTGAATGATTAAAAAAGTATGTATTTATACAATACTAATATGCATCTTTTACATTCAAGACATACTGACATACATTTAAGATATAGTTTTGAAATCTTTCAATGGAACAAAATTATCATTTATTATAATTTTGAGTAAATAGTGATAACAAGTGTGATAAACAAGTTAATTTTCCTTAACTGTGATTCCTGATAGTAGGATTATATACATGCCAAGTAAGCATGTTAATAAAGCATACAACATAAGATCATAAAACACAATGAATACTAATGCAATGTATAAAGCAATACAATGCTTCAACTTCATTAATCATTTGCAAGTGGATTTACATCATGAGACAACTTCCTTAACTCATAATTTTTGTCAGAAGGGGGAAAAAAGGAAAAATTGTGCTCTCAAATGCATTTATTAATCTGCTCATGATTTTAGTTTTGAAATGAAGTAAAGAAAGTATTTTCCATATAAAAGGCCTAAAAGAAGTACTGGTAATGTGTCCTCTTCTTTCTTCAACTAGTTCAATCTTCATCAAAAAGTCATACAGTTCATGTGCCTTTTTTAACAATTTGTTTAATTTCTTGTATGTTAAAAGGCTCTTTATGTTCTTTGCTATTGCTGCTTTGACTGCCGGCTGGTGTTAATATATAATCCAGTTCTTTATTTGACATTTTATTATCGTTATTCTCGACTCATTCTTTGATTTCTCATTCTTATCTAAAAATTCTTCAATTTGTATTACTTTTTGAAATTTGCACAATTTTCTTTGTTTTACTTACAACTGATGAAAATTCATTAAAACTTCTGGCCAGTACCGACTTTAGCAAGCATTCATTGTAGATAAATTCACTTGTTTCCATGCGAGTTTAATTATTTATATGCAGTTTCTTATGCTGAATTGCTTTCAAAATACCATTAGTATAGTGTGCCTTCCTTTGTCTAGTGCTTTATTTGCACAGATATAAACATGCCTGACAGAAAAAGCTTTGATGCTTTAATGATTCCTTGATCAATTGTTTGATTAAAGAAGTCGTATTTGGTGGAAGGAAAACAAACCTCTACATTTTGATGCAGAGTTGCGTGGGCTCTAGTATCATGCCTTGAAGCATTTTTTCAGAATTAGGAAAACTTTAAAGCTCAGGTTTTACAGTTCTAAGTAATGTTTGACTTTTTTAATCAATGAATTTTCAAACCAGCCGTTAAAGAGGACTGTACAGTGATGCTGGTATTATGTAGCGTATTGTGTATAATTGAAATTCTCATGTTAAAAAACTAAATGTAGACAACTAAGATAAGACATATATTCAAAATCACACTCCACAAGTTTGCATTCAGCAAGGGTTAATTTACATACTTTTAAACAATTCACTCAATCAGCTCTATTCTGACCTAAGACATTGAATCGGCTCTATTTTGACTAATATTTATTTGGTGTTTCGTAGATTAAATGCTGTACATCCTGCTATAGGTATTTATATATGCAAGCAGCTTGCCTGAGGGGAACAGACCAATCATTCTAAATGACATGCCCACAACAATAATCTATTTAAGTACAGTCTCACTGATCTTTACAATTAAAATTATTAAGTAATTTAAACTATCATATTTGTGCCAAAGTTAATAAAAATTTGTTTTTAGTTCATATACTATGTAGAGTTGGTATCTCTGCATATACAGATAATATATTAAATAATAATGTATAAAATACATTTTCATAAAATTCTGGGTTTCCTACTTTGGTGACACAATGGCCCAGTGAATTTTCTTAGGGTTGCGCAGATCATCAGAGAATACCAAAAAGATTTCCATTGCTGGTTTTACCATAGAAAGGTGCAGCTAAACCAAGACCAAGAGAGAAGACATAGGTAGAAAAACAAATATATGGGGACATCATAATCTTTTAAGCACTTAGGGTCTCTAAAAGTGTTACTGTAGTCCTGCACCAGTTGAATCAAGAAGCCATATGATGAGAAATTCTCTATGTTATGGGCTTCAAGATCTCTTAAAAATGCCTATTTGGATAAGTTACGGTGGGTAAAAAAAGTATTGGCAATTGCCTTAATTTATTCATATTGACAAATAAATAAAATGTTATGCAATTTTAGCTGTCGTAATTAAATACAAAACATCTTAGATCTATAAAAATAGTAAAAATTTATTTAATTTGCATTTTCTACGTTTTTTCTTTTGAAAACAAAATTTGCATGTCAAAGTATTGGCAAAGTTTTAACTGCTATTCAAATTTTGTTAATTTGAAGTCATGTGTTTTGATTGATAAAAACTCTACTGGTATAAAGTCTGCAAAACTACTCCAAAGTGTCTATGCATTATTTGCAATTACTGCAGTAAAAGACTTCGAATCGAAGGAGTTGGACTTAGTGTTATAAAACGATTATTAGGCTCAAAATGAAGGTTTAACTTCCGTGCTATAGGAGTGCAGTTGAATTAAGTTTATTTACTGTCAGAAGTGTTGAAAAAAGTTCAAGGAAACAGACAACTGAAAATAAGACTAGAAGTGGATGACCTCGAATATTTTCTACAAGAGAAGAACGTTCATATTACAAGGTTAAGAAACCCGGAAAAAGTGCACCCCAGATAGCTAGAGATGTTGCTTTCACTTCGCAAAGACTTTCAGCGTACAGACTGTACGGAATGTTTTACACAAGAGAAGTTTATTATGGAAGGGCAGCTAAAGAAACCATTCATCTCGGAAAAATAGAGAAAGAGGTTAGATTCGCAAAATCCCACATGATTTATCTGAAGAGTTTTGGAACAAGTTTTTTTTTCGACGAATCAAAGTTCAACATTTGCAGCGATGGAACGATATATGTGGAGAAGGCCAAATACTGAATTGGAAAAGCACATTTAACTTCTACTGTAAAACGGGTGGAGGCAGCGTCTTAGTTTGGGCTGTATGGCGCTAATGGATTGGCAACCTGTAATTTTATTGATGGTATTACGACAGCATGTACATATTGACATTTGTGCCAAACTTAAAAATCAGGCCCAAAATCTTGGCTGGAACATCATTCGTTTCAAGAAGACAATGACTCCAAGCAACGAAATCCACCCGTGAATGGCACTCTACATGCTACTAGCCAGTTAAAACCCCACCTCAATCGCCTGCCATCAATCCAATTGAAAATTTATGGCACCTATGGATCTAAAATAGGAACATAAAATTTCAAGAAGAGACCTGAACGTTACTCTTGCAAGAGTGGCCAAATTCCAACAGCACACAAAGACCTTAGTTTTCTCTATGAGACATATTACAAGCTGTTTATAGATGTAAAGGTGAATACAAAGTACTAAACATACACTATTTTGTTTTGCTCATAATTTTGTCATTTCTTTTTGCCATATTTTTTTATCATGTAAATTGGTCTTCTCGTAGATTTTGATTAAAAAATATTTAAATGAAAATTTTGTTATATTTGTTTGTTTTTCTCCTTCTGTAAGCTATGTTAAAAAAATTTGTAAACATACTTGTTAGCAAATATGATTCATTTATAAGCAATTGCCATACTTTTTTTCCACTGATTTATGCATTCAAATCTTTGGCAAGGGTAAGATATAACTTTTGATCTTTAAATAAAAAAGCCCGAGGTCTATCGCATCATTAAAATTCATATTCTGAAAACATACATATCTGCAATTACAGAAATAGGATTTTGGCAATTAATGCTAAACTGCTAAAAAACTATTAATATATATTTTAAAATAAAATCCATTCTTGTTAAAAAAAAAACACATAACAAGTAATATCTCATAATACTGGAAAAATACCTGAGCTAGAAGATGCATCACATCTCCTACAATATCCAAGATTTCAAAACCTTCTCCATCAACTGCAAATTTCACCGTATGAACAACACTGCAAAAAACATAAGTTATCTGAAGAGCTAGTGAAGTTGTAAACAACCGAGTTACGTGATGATGCTGATGAATGGCAGCATATAATTGGAGAGGTACCAAAACCAAGTAGAGAGCAAGCAATCCTAAATACATTTCAACTGTTCCCTGAGGGGGAAAAAAATGCAAGTAGTATTTGTCACAAATTTCCAATAACAGATAAAATATAAAAAATATCTCTGCTTTACAATGTAATAATGCAGATTATGTAACACACGAAGTGTATTGAGTATGAAAAAAAGTCGGTCATCTAAACTAAGTCTATTAGTACATAAAAGAAACAACCGTAATTTCCGAAGAAACGCCCGCGTACGTGTTTTAAAACTTAATTTTCGCGGGTGCGGCGTTTTTAATGCGGGTTTAGGTGCACTAAAAATAAAATTTCTTATGATGGTCATGTAATAGTTTGAATGGCCTTGTCATTGTGCATAGACGGTGCTGTCCACCAAAAGACCACTCATGGTTTTGCACGTTATTTGTTACCGTTCCCTTGACGGACCTCATGCCTTATTCACCCCAATGAGATCTCGAACAATAACATTCTCCCCCTTCAAACAACATTCTCATTTGATAGTCTCTCTCCTCTGCCATTCGATGAATCTTCCGGACCCCATCCTCTCCCCCCCTGCCTTTTCTGCAATTTTTTTTCAAAGCGGACACACTCCACCTGCCTCGCAATAGAACTCTAAGTATTTTCCTTCAGCATGAAGTATTTTTCTTGGCGTCGCCAAATACAGATCCATCAGTTGGTCAATACTTGTGGATTTTTTTAATAGAAGGGAGCAGAAAATTGAAAATTCTCTAAAGGCACAGAAGCATACATTTCTTACCTTTAATTTATTTTAGTTTGGTTTCATTTCATGCATTTTTCTTAACTGTATGTCATATATCATACTAGGTGGTTTTGCATCTATTACGCCACGACGATGCACCAAATTTAATTATTGCGGCTTTACGCTGATGCGGCGTTTCTGTGTTTTAATTTTTTCCGCCATTTTCGAGGCGCGTTTACGCTGATGCGGCCTTTCTTCCGGAAATTACGGTAATACTTACTGGAAAAAACAATTCTGTTACATGCCTGAAGCTTTCTTTACTTCTAGTCTCTTCCTACATTTAAACATTTGTCATATCTAGTCACGAGCTTCAGAATTCCCATGTTATACTCTTCTGCCACCACTTCATTAAGGTATGTTTTCACTGCATTCTCCAACTCTTCATCAGTTCCAAAACATTTACCACCCAGAAATTCAGCTTATAAAAAGGTGGAAATCGCTAGAAGCATGATCTGGAATATGGGGTGGATGATTAAAGTAATTCTTGAATTACAGCAGCAGTGTGAGGGTGGGCATTGTCATGGAGAAGCACAACTCCTCCAGAGAGCATTCCTCACCTCCTGTTTTGAATGGCTCGGCATAGGTTCCTTCAAGTCTCACAATAAAAATTTGCATTGATCATAGTCCCTCTTGGCATGAAATCCATCAAAAGAACATTTTTACGATCCCAAATATGGTTGCCCCGACCTTTTGTATTGAAAGAGTCTGTTTGAATGTTCTCTTTTCTTTTTTTGAGATGAGGGATAATGCCACTCAATGAATGGCGCTTGCTCTCTGGGACAATGCGACACACTAAAATCTCATCTCCAATCAAGAAAGACCCCTCCATCTGTGTGATATCCTGTCAAGAATGACAGTGCTGAGCTTTAAGTTCAGTGAACACCTGTCTTAAAGAACTGGCGGCAGAATAGTGTAAAATGGGAATTTTGAAGCTCATGAACAGATATGACAAATGTTTAAATGACAGTAGTGATTATATACAGAAGTGAAGGAAGCTTCATGTACATTACAGATTATTATTATTATTATTATTATTATTATTTTTAAGTTCATCAATTTTTTTCAATGAACAAAGTTTTCATTAACTTGAAACTGTTTAAGAAGCATGCAAATTTTTTAAAAAATAAAAAAAGGTCCCTCCCCACCCCCAAAAAAGGGTAAGAAAAGTTTTATTTTTATTTTTAGTTATTTATGGCCAGAATATCCACTATGGTGTCAGTGTTTCCACTCATAAATTTACTGTGAGCAATCAGTATTACCTATGACTGCAATACTGAGATAATATTTATTTCTGGTAAAATAAATCAATAAAATGCATAAAAACAATACCATTATTTTCTTGATATTTAAGGAATTAAAAGATATTTTTTTTTAAATACTCTTCAAATGAGTAGTTAGCATATCTGGCTAGCAACTCATCAAATATAATTGAATACTTTGCATCAACAATTTTTTGAATATTTTAAATACATTTATCATCTTTAAAATTATGAATAGTTAGAACAGAACTTTTCATTGAAATTATTTTATTGCAAAGAATGATTTGCTAATATTTATTTGCCAATATTTATTTTGTAACACACAAGTGTTAAAAACCAAGAAAAATAATATATTAGGAAAAAGATTTGGAGAATATGTTTCAATATTTAGTACACAATGTATGCAAATAAATTTCAAAAGTAAAAGTGTCTGAATACAAATGTGAGCCACTGTATTTCTGAAAAAGTTTATCCTATCCAAAGTTATCAGAATCTGCACCAGTTCGAATACACAAGGAAATATATCGTTGGCATGACAGAAACATACTGCTAGCTGCATGTGTCAGGAGAAGTAATTATGAACACAATGGGAAACAAAGTTTCTAATGATTTAAATGACAACAGCCAATGCAATTACACATAGAAATCACATACCCAAAGAGCAATAATGGCTTCTAAATTAGTGCTTTTTTGCTAGGTAACATATGCCCTGAATTTTCTTGAGTTTTTGTTATTATTTTAATAAACTTGATTTAGGATGTGTTATTTATTTCAAATCACAGTTTACACTTGATTTCTTTATAAATGTTACTCCCTCTGCCCCATAATAATAGTATCAAGTCACTATTTAAATAGGAATTACTGGTGAATGCAGCTGTAAGTTATACTGTACCACAAAATGGTGAAGCCTTCAATCAAAATCAATGTTTCAAGACATCTGTCATTTGTTT